CTACTACTACTACTACTACTACTACTACTACTACTACTACTACTACTCCTGCTACTACTACTACTGCTACTACTACTACTGCTACTACTACTACTACTGCTACTGCTACTGCTACTACTACTACTACTGCTACTACTGCTACTGCTACAGGAACAGGAAACAGCTAAGACTCCACACACTCCCTGACGCTGAAAAACCCTGGTCGCCCCATCGCCACGAGGCGGGTGGTGTCCGTGAGTCGCCTGGATCGCGATACCTCTGGCGTCCTGGTGTGCGCCTTGGGTACTGAGGCGGCCGAGGTCTTGACCCAGCAATTCAAGGAGACTCAAAGATTCAGAGACGAAGATTCGGAGTGAAAAAGGATGATTGTGTCATCCGGAGTATGTTTTCTCTTATGCCATACTATGTAGATATGAATGTATATGTTTGACTTTGTGTGTAATTGTTTAACCTTAGTTCACAGTGTCATGATATACAGAAAAAAGTGAGAAAGTGTTTATTTTGAGTGACTTGAGTCTGTGAGGTGCTGTTTCAGTATTTTTGGTGTGAATGTTTTTGGCAAAGTGGCTGGAATCTCAAAGGGGCCTTTGATGTGTTTCCCATTGGAACTTTGCAGTTATGTTTTGGCATGTGGTGGAGGGTGTGATGTTTTTGCGTTTGTGACCGGCTCCTGGTTTCAGGAGCATCAAGTCTTCAAGCGTTATTTGGCCCTTTGTACTGGTCGTGTCGAACCTGCTGAAGGCTCGCCCAACAGTCGCCATCTCCCGCTCCAACATGGCAGCATTTGGGATGGAAAAGGAAATCAAAAAACTATCAATGGATTGGTTTAAGAGATGCGTTATCTACAGGAAACTACGGTTCTGACTCTGACTCAAAAAACTGTGGGTCTCCTGATTTCCCTCCCTCTAAATCAATTCTGGGAACCTGAGAAGTCACACTTTTGCTTGCCAGCTGACTGCCTTCTTTGATGCCAAGTGCATGGACAAGTTTGTGTATTCTTTGAGCGGCGGTCGGTGAACTCGATGCAGTGTAGTGACTCATGGATCAACGGCACGAACTTGATCGTGTTTTCTTAAATTATCGAAGAAAGTGTTGGTATAGAGTGACATATGCGGGGGCACTTGCCAGTCAATTACAAGAGATCCTTCCGTCAGCTGTCAACAAAATAACGGGACATGTTCTGGCCAATATAGGATAAACATGGGACCTAAACCCTTTTGAGAAATCGTGGGAGAAAAATGAACGTGTCATTTTCGTGTCATGGCCGTGTTTTTGTGTTTGTTTGAGTTCTCAGTCGATGCAGCGGAGGAGAGATCAACGCCAAACTCTACATCTCCGGCTTTGCTGAGAAGTATCGCGCCCTTTGGGCTGCATTTTGGCTCCTGTGTACACCAGGCTTGGCGGTTTCCCTGTGTTTGAACTCGACAGCCGAGCAAAAGGATCAACAAAGATGGCTGACTTCTGAAACGTATCGCATTCAGAAATGTATTGATATGAATTGATAGTCAATATGTCCAATATGGTTTTGTTGTTGCTACATATCCAAGCATTGGATCCAACCAATGTGAAGCCATGTGATGGATTGGTTGCCTTTCTACCATGGTTTATTCTCATGTTCAATCTAGGGAGCATATAGAAACTGATTGGCGCCATGCTGCAGCAAGCCTTCCAAGCCTGGCCAGATCAACACTACACTGCCTTCAGATCCGGTGAAACCTCAAACTGAGAAGGCTCAAATGGACTAGTGTTCCTCCACCAGGAGTCACATGGAGTTGGGTGGTGTGGCTCGTCCCATCCAGGGGCTGTGGATGTGACACCCTGTCACCCCCACTTCCTCCACGTTCGGCAGCCCGACATGTGACTAGTCCTTCTCGGCCGTGTCTCGCCGATGTTCTCTCTGGCCGCGCGATGATGTCAGACGTCACATGAGATGCCAGGCCTATGTCTCGCCCAAAGGGAAGCCATCGGTGACCTTCTACGAAGTCTTGGGCGTTTTCCGAAGGACTGATGCCAAGACTGATGCCAAGGTGTGGACGGCGATGCAAATGCCCATCGAAGTCATTCATGAAAAAGTCAAAAAAACAACGACGTGCCTGAAAATGTCGTTGGCTGTGGAGCCCCTGGGGTGGGACAGTTGCATGTCCTTTTCCTTCTTTCGAAACTTCCGGCCGCTGCCAGGCTCCCCAGCTCCAAGAAGTGGATGAGTTGAGCTGCGCGCTTCAGGGCTATGCCAAGGTCGCAGTTTGCATCACTAATGTCGACGTGGGATTAATCACCCCCCCTACAAGGTCAACAAGGTCTGGGATTGGAGGGATTGGAGACCACATCCAGGTGATGACCTGATGATGGATGATGAGATGAGGACCTGGACCTGATGATGAGATGGACAAGGGTGGATCAGAAGATCAGTTTCACCATGGACCAGAAGATATTGGATACTGCCCAAAAGACAATAAGATTACTGTAAATAAATATAAAACATTATAAAACCAAATATATTATTTGTTTTTCTGGGGGAGCTGGGCTTGATTGATAATGATCAATAGGGGGGAGGTTTCTGCCAGAAAAGAATAATTGGGTGATGTACCGGGTTTAGGTTAGTATTGCGGGCTCGAGCTGGGCTTGATTAATAGGGGGGAGGTTACTTTATCCTATGTTAACACTACATTGCGTGACAGGTGTGTTGTTGTTGTTGCTATGTGTTGACTGCGTAGGAGCCATTTCCAAGCCCAAGTGTCTGGTGAGAAGCAGACACAAAATCAGCCAAGCAAGCAAAGAGCAGGTCCAAATTTCATCCCTGGTCGTATCCCACATCACCAGTGTCACCCTATGGATCACCTCACAGCCAGGTCACGGAAATGGCAGAAGCTCGCGAGGAGCGCTCTCCGGTTCACTTCATGGTGTGAGAGGTGGATTGGTCAAAAGATTGCCATTTCTGGTGCTGGTGTTGACATTCACACACTGTCAAAAGGGTTTGGCCCAGATAAGGACTTGTTCCCTTCCGGATTGAAACTTAGAATGCCCCTCCAAAAACGCCGAGGATAAGAAATCGTAGGGTGCACCACGGCAAAATGGGAACAAGTTGAGGTTGAATGCACAGGCTGGAGGAAAAATAGTCTTAGAATGCATCCTGGAAGTGTCTTGGGGTGTCAAATCCATGGCCCAAACGGCTGTCCATAGTGAGGAATTTAAGACTTAGAATGCGATGGATGCACCTATGTTCCAATTTGCTAGTTTGATTGTGCGATGTTCAGCACCACGGCAAATCCACGGCAAAGGAAGACATGCCTTTATGAGTTTCAGATTGGAGAATGAATTCATTAAGCTGGCCCTGGCTTGCATGCATGGTCTGAGGGTGTGTGCAGGACAGTGTGAGGCTCTCACTAGTCACGGTTCGTTTTCAATGGTACAAGGATACATATTTCAATGTTAAATCAAACCCATCAAAACGCACACGTTTGTACATTGTCTTTCCTGTGGTGAGAATGCCCCAAAATAGCAAAGGCATCCTCAGAATACAATAGTCGCTATCTGATGGGAAAAAGAACTGCTGTATCATTGCATGCGTTTCCGGGATGCCTGGGATGCATTCTAACTCTTTTGCCGTGCAGTCGCATTCTAACTATCGGAGGCGGCAAATCGTCAAACATGTTGCATTCTAACTTCCAGTCCGTAAGTATAGGCGAAAATGGAGAGGTGTACTGGTGGCCATCGCTTAGTAGGTTGGAGACCATCGCTAGTGGGTTGGAGGCCATCGCTCCTAGGGTGGAGGCCATCGCTAGTAGATTGGAGTGCCTTTTTCTTGAGGAGTACAGCCTGCTGGCCTGCTATCCTGGCACTGGGCGGACGCACCAAATCCGTGCCCACCTCCAGTTCAAAGGCACCCACTGCACCGGGCCGGTTCTTCGAGTGTTTCCAGCCAGTGGTGGCTGGAGACCGTGGGAAGGCTGGAATGTTATTTAGGGAATCCAGGGGAAGATGCCCCCGCACAGTCTTTTGATGTCTTTTGAAGGTTCCAAAGAATAAGCACAGACGGCTTGGTTTGGCTTTGTGGTTGCTATTCTTGATTTGGGCGGTAACATGGCTGTACAACTTGACGATTTTGTTGACCTTTTCTGCAAATGTGGCATGAAAGCATGCTGCTCACCGCCGATGATCCAGGCTACCCGATCGTGAGTGATGCCAACTACAGCGCTCGTGGGAAAGTGAGGCCGCAATTCGCTCCCCGGCCACAACGGGGCTCTTGGGGTTGACACTTGGAGTGTTTGGCTTTCAGGCTTTGTCCTCAAAAAGGACATTAGTCGGTCGCACATCATGTGTCACTAGTTCAGTTTGAGGGAGGGTCGTTTGTGACTTCTCCCTGATGTGGTGTTCTGATGCAGAGGCTTGTTTGGTCAGCATGCGTGGCCCATCAGCTGTCGGTTTACCTTGGCGAGCCCCACATCCATGCTGTTGTGGAAGAATCTCTTAGAACTCCACTGAAGCAGAAAGGGCCCTGTAAATGCATCCACTCAGTGGGGTGAATACCGACCTGGAAGGCGACGTTGAAAGAGCATAATTCCAAAAAGCTTCAAAGCTTCGAAGATTCCCGAAAATTCACGCATCTCAATTTTCTTTTGGCTCTATCCGATCTATCCTCAGGAATGGTGTCCTCGCTTGTGGCTGCACTGCGCGCAGATGTCTTTGTTGGACCTCGAAGGGCAATGGCAAGATTGGAGGCGCCAGGAGCTGTGGGGTGGAGAAAGCGCTCCCTTGGAGAAGCCTCCTTTCCGTGTAGACCCCATGAAGTTCGGGACAAGGTTCGTGTTTTGTGTGGGAGACACAGTACCCAAAGAGGGCAAGATTTGTTGTGACCATAAGTGACCCTTTGATTTCTCTTGGGGTGTAAACGGTGTGCCCTCAGATCTTACTCCGAAGGCCCAGGAATCTCGTCGAGTTCGGCAGACCGACGCCCCCAAAATGTTGCCTGGACCGAAATGCCTGTGGGTCAAAACCTGGTAACGCTGGTGTTTCCCACAGAAGATGAACAGAATAGACTAGCCGGCATGGTCAACCTACCAGGGTGAACAGGGCTCCAGGTGCCATGACCGGCGGTTCGAAGCCAGGGCGCCACTGGCGAATGACCTGCAGCGAGTCTTGAGGAAGCTGGAGGTGCTGCGATGCTTCCACAAACGCTGAAGGAAAGGAGAGACAGAGTGAGAGGACCCTAAACCAATATGTTTCGGAATTCTAGTCTTTTACTATTCCTCCGTCTTTGGCTGGGACATACGTTGTATACCCAGTTCTGCCAACTCATTCAAACAGCCACATGTACGAATATATAGTACAGTTATTAATGTCTACATATATATATATATATACGGCCATGTGTTTTTTGTTTGTTTTTCCAACCGAAGTGACTGCGTGCTGAAGCCGAGGCGGAAGATGGACGCAGCGGGTTGGAAGTGCTCCAGGCACATGAAGCCAAAGCAGCTTCTGCAGAGTCCCAGAGGAAAACTCTCCGCCGGGTGGTGGTGGCAGTGTCAAGGATCACGGAGGTGTCAAGGCGAATGTCAGAACCCAGTCCAAATTTGGGGAGGCCTCAGATTAAGGGAATTCTTCTGGGAGAATGCGCTCGAGAGTCCGTTGCTTTTTCGTGTTTGCAGAAAAAAGCCTGACGTAAACATCAAGGGATGGAGATTCGAGGGTTGATTTGCTGCAGTGGCTTCTTGGAGGGTGGATTCTTTGGTAGAGCTGGGTAGCCCGTCCCGCACTTGGCTTGTTCAACACATGCTCCAAGAAAAGCATAAAGGATGTGTGGTTTCACCAGCCCATGACCACACATCGCTTGTGCTTAAATTGTTGTTATTGTATACCACTAATATCCACTAATCATGATCCTCGTGCTCCCTTTGCCCATTGGCTTAGTATGCCAGCCCTCGGATGGACCGCGCAAGGTCATGTATCTACACAGCGGAGGAGGAGCGAACCTTCGTCCGGGATCACTTAGGCGGGGTTGGCGTGTTGCACACGTCTTACCCCTGACCCTTGAGATTCCAGAGTTCTGTCAGGGAATTTGGGACCACCAGTGTGTGATGCAGGGAGTCTTCTGTGCACCTCGAGGGTTCGTGTGTCAAATGTCCTTTTGGCCAAGCTAAGCTGCTAAACAGTGTTCTAATTGGTACGCCATGATAGGCCCATCAATGTCAACCCCCCATCCCCTCTAGGGAAGTGGAAAATGGCCCTCTTTTTACGCATCGGATAACTATTTAGTTTCCTCTAGACAGACAACTGATGACAACTGGTTTTCCACTTCCATGATTCTTCCATGGAACTCCCCCTTTGTTTCCGCTGGATGTTGCATCTATCGCTTCAGCATGGGCGGAGACTTGGTGAGTCACACAGACACTTCGCAGACTTCGCAGAACGCAGACGCCACGACCGGCGTCCTCTCGACGACACCGAGCCGTTCGCCCTTTTGCCCTTGGGTCGGTCGTTCTCCGAGGCCCACAGCTGCAGAAAGCCTCTCCGGAGGCGAGGGCTCACGGGCCACCCGGTCACGCGAGCTCTTCTCGCCGTCTTCGCGGTCTTCCGGGGTTCGGGGGTCGGGTTAGGACGTGAATGCACGGGCCTTTTGGAGTCGGCCTAAGCCGGAAGTCCTCTGAAGTCATCCAAGTGACTAAAGCGATGGCCTCCAGGGGTCTAAAGGGGTCAAGTTCACTTCCGTTCCTGTCATACCTTGTCATCCGCGACTGGACAGGAATCGATGCGTGCAGTTGACATCCTTTCACGCGAAGACAGGTGAAGATCCTCGTTTGGGACCACAACCGGGATGGCATGTTGGAGCGGGGCGCTGCTGCTTGCCTTGAAGAAGAGCTTTGTGGATAGAAAAAGGCCAGATTGGTATCAGGGCGGCCAGGTGAGTCACTTTTCACCTTCCACACAAACTGTTCCTTTCCCACCCACTAGTTCCATCAGCTTAGGCTTATGATGGTTTATGATAGGTGCTTGAAGATGTTCCAACGTCATTTACAGTCATATGCAGCAAGCTGTTCTTGTCTAGTTCCACCCACCCCACCTGTGCGATGGTCCGCTACCTCGCTGTATGGGTCAAAGATTTGCCAAACAAGCCCAAGCTGTATGGGTTTGTGCGCTGTTTAAGTCTGTCTAAGACTTGACCTTTTAAAAACGCCGGTGCCATATGTGTGTGGTGCCTAATGGGATGGACGTGCACGAGCAGGCCACTGGCCCCCAGTTGCGACGCCGGTTTGCCGAGCTGAGGTGATGTACGACGACCCTGCAGCAGCAGAGTTTGTTTGGGGAGTGGCCTATCACTGGTATGGCGGGGCTGGGTGTGATGGAGATTTGATGAGTTTTGCCATGAATCAGTGATTTGTGGAGCTTCACGCGTCGCGTCAGAAAGACAGCTTGCCATGAATCGGTGAGTGTGCTTGTGCGACTTAAGACTGCGAAGCCTCTCTTATAGATGCACAATGATTCATAGTTAGTTCATGTTAGTTCATGACATGGCCAATCGCTCTTAGGTTGGAGGCCATCGCCATCACTACTAGGGTGGAGGCCATCACTTGTAGGTTGGAGGCCATCGCTAGTTCAATAAACGATGCGCAGTAGTCGACCACATGGAGAAGGACCAGGTTGGGCACCCTCTCACCTGATGATGCCCCTGGGCCTTTTCTCCAGGTGATGCTCGCTATGAGACATGGCCTCCACGCACCGAGGTCCGGCGACGTGGTTTTTCGCGAAAAGAACCCCCGACAGAGTCCATACCTCCATGCGACCTGGAAGATTGACCTATTCCATTGATGTCCATCGATTTCCATCACGTTCCACGATGTTTTTGGCATCTGAACACCACCCAAAGGTAGGTCAAATATGGTCCAACATAGGTCAAATAGACTTTACTCCCCATATGGAAAGCTCCGCATGTGGAAAGCTCCGCCCTGAACGCCCGCTTGTCGTCCCTATCGACTGCCAGGTGACCTTTGAGGATCGCCAAGAGGGAGGCCATTTTCGCCCAGCGCCTTTTGAATGTGCTTTTCTGAATGTGTGCACGCATGGAACGTTTCTTTGAATCCAGGGCCTTGCCATCATTTTGGCAAGGTGAAGTGAAGGAGTTGAGGGCTTGCTCTGGCTTCGAGAATGTGAGGCGTGCTTCATGCATAGGGGGGTTCAAGATTGGGTGCAGACCGTATACAGATCCCCTTCAGATGTTGAAGATGTTTTCGTGTTGACAGTCCAGAAAATGGACTGCAACTCTTTAGCCCTGGCGGATCTGAGATATGATCATAACGCAAGATTTGGTGGAAACAACATTGGTTTCTATAAGATTCGTATAGATTCGTCGTTTCAAGCTACGTGCTAGGCCCAGAGTCTGACTTTCGGGGCAGCTTGGCACTGTTTGTGAGGGTCGAGATATTCCCAACTACTGCGAGTAGCCATAATGCATCGTCTTTCTTGTGGTGATGAGCCCTTGTGGGGACCAATCTCCCTGTAAACAGGCGCTTGGCGGACCTACGGCAGGACAAGCACATCTTGTTCACGGAAGGCCGGGTGCATTTTCAGCACACCACCCGAGAACTGACCTGCACAGCCGAGGATGCTGGTTTTGGTTGCTTTGCCGTTTGGTCAAGCGTAGTTGAAGGGTCCCTCCATACTGATGGAAGTACCGGGTGACGGTCCATTGTTTCAACTCGGGTCCCATCCAAGGAATATGTTCCAGTCCCATCCCACCGAGTGTCGGTGTTACATGGTGTTACCGTATGCGAAACTTATCCATTGCACTCGACCGGGCGTTGTTGACTTGACTTCTGGATGACTTCATGACCCCGTCCACCAACCTAATTAATAGCGATCGAACCTAATAGCGATGGCCTCCAACCTAAGTAAGCCAGACCAGTCCACCATGCGAGCAAAAGACCAACACCAGAGCCACCTCCCGTCTCCTCGTGCCCTAGCCTTCGGTCGGAACTCGTGCGATCAACCCACAGCCATTGCTTGGAGACATCAAGAAGGACCCCACTCATTGGGACATGGACCACTCGTTGGGATGGTTCAAAGAACCTGAGGATCGTTCGTGAACATCATCGTACATGCGTACATCATGGTGCATCATCGTACATCGTCCTATTAGTTTGTTGTAGTCCTCTTATGTTCCTCATTGTTCCTCTTTTGGCAGTATTGAATAATTTTTGGTGCCACCCCGAAATTGAAGAAGCTGACGGAAATGTGGGCGTGGAACACCATCCTAGACTCATCTATCGACTCCTAGCAGGTCCTAGACCCAAAAGAGCCTAGACTGTGTCTACAAAAACCATCTCCATCGAACCCTCCAAGATCCCGAGCTCGCCCTCCACTTCCGCCAATCCACCCGCGCAAACTGAGGGTGTCAGGAGCTTGGGGGGCCGGGACCTCGCCTCTGTCTTGGCAGCGGCTCGGGCGAATGCAGATGATTGGGAAGCTTTTTGTTTTGACAGCCCAGAAGCTTGAATGAATCTTCAACACTTAATGTGAACAACATGAGCCACGGCTGCCAGATTGAACAAGAGACAGACAAATTCTATTCTTCCTTTCTGGGGCCTGAGATGTTCCATTCTCGGAGGATCGTCTATCACAGGTCGTTTTTCAGCTACTACTGAGGATTGGAAGCTGGGGGAGCGATACTCCATGAACCTCATCGCCGACCTCAATTCCGGATGCCAGGGGACCCCGCCTGTTCACACGAAGACGGAGATACGACAGGACGAGGGGGGTCGGATGGTTCATGATGGTTCCATGCAACTCTGAGCCGTGAAGCCAGATGTGTCGGTTCTTCGGAAGTGTCCGTTTTTGCTCATGCCCGGTGTCATGGCCATTGCGCGAAGAAACTGCATGAACATGAACTTCCAGTGGGTGTCTCCATACTCGCTCTCTTCGATGCACTGCCATGAGTGGTGTTCTTCTCTGCCAACCACAAAACATTTGGGTGAGCCTCGGTCTTCCTGCAGCTTCGGAACCCACTTCTCCCTCTCCCTCTCCCCTGTCAGCCTGTCTAGAGGTGAGGGCTGGATTGTCGCGGGCTTATGTCGCCGTGCGCCGCTAGCAGCGGGATGTTGGAATTGAATGTGTTGGGTTACTTACTGTGAATTACATGGGACCCAGGGGTGTGACTTTGCCAAAGATCCATGAACTAACAACAAGTCGAAAGAGTTGACCAACTCGGATGGCTCGGATGGCAGCATCCCGCGTTTCTGTGGACAGTGGTTCTTACATGTGGAAGGATTGATCGTTAATGTGCGATTCTTCAACATGTTGAAACGCCTCACAACACATCCATTGCATGCGCCATCATGCGCCGCTTATATTAGTATAAATATATATATATATTTATTTATTTATGTATTATCTCTACATCAAGCCAGCCTGCTTGTGCCAACCAGGATTGGAACCTGTGCTTGGACGAGGAGGGTGGCCCCAATCACGTTGCCTCCTTGGTTTTAAGAGAGCGGCTTGATCAAGGCCTACCAACCTGCACCATGAATTTGGCCGCCCCAAGGCCTACCCTCGAAAAGGTGCCAAGTTTTTTGGATGTTCTTTAAAGGGCACCTTTTTGGGGCTGAATCCTTGAAAAAAGCCGTCCGCCCGGGCGGAACGGCTCGGTTTTGGATTGTTTTTTAATCTCTTTTCTTTGGCAGGGTCATGCGTTCTGCGTTGTTCTAGAAATCGTCTGAAATGTCACGGGCAGAAATCGGCGGAAAAAGACGGAAATGAGCGGAACTCGTTTTGTAACAACCGCAATTGTCAAGGAAGTTTGCTTTGGTTGCATGACGGATGTTGGATGCGGATGGTTTTATTTACTACGGGCAGAACTGCTGTTTCATGCCTACTGAAAAAATTGTCTTCTCAACTGCGAGCAGTTTTGGTCACCTGTGGCGGGTCTAGGTATAAAGGTATAGGTCACAGAGCGGGTCATCGCTTTCCGGCTGGGTTCATTGGGGTTCGACACACCGGCCGGTGCCTCTGAACCGACCTGCCTTGCATCCACCGACCTGCGCTTCGCTCGCTCCTCCACCGCCATCAATTCGTGACCGCTGAGGTGGGGAACACCTGTGTGGCGCCGATCATTTGTGACACCCAGCGAGATGAAGTCCTTTATCAGCCCAGCTTTTGGCACTTGGGGCCGGAACTTCAGGAGTGTGGATGGTGGACTTCGACCGGGGCCGGAACTTCTGTATCAGAAACGCCCGGTCGAACACCATCCTTGATCCGGTGCCTACTGAGGCACTTCTCCAAGTACATCAGGCATGGGTTTGGGCCTGGGATGGGATGCGCACCCGGCGCCGCAGATGCGGATACAGGCCCGGTCTCGAGGAAACCGGGCTTGGTCGGTTCGACGGTGGGTCAGCTAACAATTAATGGTGAATCTCGGGAAAATCGTGGAGCAACGTGCACCTTCACCTGAATGAATGCCTTCTCCAAAAAGCGATTTGTCTCACCCCAAAGAAGGGCCAAAAGCTATATATTAAATGGTGTTCTTTTTCTCCATTCCGGTGCTTCGGAGTGTTTTGTGCCACTTGTGAACGACGAGGCCAGGTGCGCGGCGGCTGCTTTGCAGTAGCACCCGAGATGCCCTCGAGGCTCGAACTGGAGCGGACGCGAACCGAAGCTCCTGGATGCTCCCGCTAGGAACCAGAAGCTAAGGATGCCGGAAAAGTCTTTAAAACTCTTTCACCGTACGGGGGGGGTTGAGGCGGTCGGGCTTAGAAACAGTCGATATAATTGGTGATGATTGATCACGCAAGGATTTATATAGAAAGATCTGAAGGATGTTTATAAAGAGAATTGAAGAGATGAAGGTTCTTCCCAAGTGACTTTTCCCGATGCAGGCCGGGCTTGTGGGCGATTTCCTTTCATGTCGAAGCCCTTTTCTGAGCCAATCAGGTGACCTCCTTTCTGAATCCGGATGGGCAAGTGGTTGTGGTGGCCCAAAACCGAGTCCAGACACGAGACACAGGACCACACGCTGGAGTGGACCTTGTGGACCGCCTGAACCACATGTTGAATGAGTAATTCTTAGAGTGTTCCCCCTACTTGTACCCAGGAAGTCATGGAAGTCCGTGGATCGTTCATCACCCGGCACAGCGAGGTGTCGGAGTGGTTCGGTTCATCTTCACCTTTTCCAGGATCCAATCCGGCTTGGAAGTGGGATTTCACCCAGACCATCCATGTCTGGAATACTTTCATTTATGACCCCAATGGATGTAACTCTTCCATACATGGATGGTCTGGGTAAGGTCCCCAACTGAGGTCTTGAACCAAAGCGAGGAGGATCTGGGCTTTTGGTTGAAGGTCGGCGATGTCTGGTCGGCGAGCTTCATTTGGGTATTTTTTCTTCACATTGCTTGCACTTGGTTGTCACCTCGACAAATTGGGATGAGATGTGCTTTTTCATGTTGTGGACTCATGCACAAGAACCCGTGCATTCTTGAGCGCCAAATGCCCGTGCAGCTGGCTGAGTAAACTTTGCATCTGGCTGAGTAGAGCGTTCCAATTTCTCTTCCAACTCCAAAAATCAAAGTGAACTGGGCCAGCAGCTCCAGCTCCTCCTCTTCAAGAGTGTCCAGCTCCATCAGCGCGGTCTCTTTTTTTTGAGCAGAAAGTCCTTCTGAGTGGGAAACAAGTTCAGACGTTGTTGGTCTATCTGGATACCTTGAGGTTTGTCCTTTGGAACATGTTGAGTCAGTTTGAGCGTGTTCTTTTCGTTGGCTGTATTTTTGCTGTGTTAGAACAAGCTTGTTTTGGAACAGTAGATGTAGCTAACCATGATTCTCAACTTCCTTGACCTGGAATGAAGTTCCGTGAGGGCAGTGAGCGGACAAACTCCCGCATGGTAGGACACTCCGACCAACATCAGAATCAATCGCCCTAGCATGCAGACCCTTCGTTTTGCTCTATAGGTACGAAGAAATGCAAGAAATACAAACCGTTTTCCTTTGCAAGCAAGTTGCGTGTCCTTTGCGTCCTTTCCAAGCAAGTTGATGTCCTGAGACTTCTCAAATCGATGCTGTGGGGGACCAGCCTCAAAACCAATGGGACGTCCGCCGAAAACACAAATCACGAACGGGCACCGTTTGCTTCCAATCCTCGGAACTGCTGCGAACGAGCTGTTCCTGCTACGAACGGACTCTTTTAGAATCATTTGATTCACGTCACTTTGGTTCATGCGTGACTTTGGCACGCACATTGTTCCCTTTTTTACGAGCGTCGTGCAGGCACCACTAGACTCTAGACCATTTGAGTTCTAGGTTCGGCAGGTGTGCTAGACTGCTAGAAGGGCTTTGAGCAAGACACGGGCATACACACATACTGTGAACACTCCTTGTGGGAGAACACAACTGGGGTCCAAGCAAGAGCCGAGTAGACAAGCAGGCAGGTACACATGACTGATCAGGCCATGCTTTACCTGTGAAACCACGTGCACACACTTATGGATATGCGTACGGACGGACAGCGGTGCCACACGCCGGCCTAGGGTACCATTTCCTAAGAGTACAAGGGGCCTCGGGGTCTTCAAACGGAGAAGGGGCCAAAGGCTCAAGTCGGAAACGAACCGACAGATGACGGCGTAACGTGCATGACTGCCGCAAACTTTAAAAGTTGTTGCAGGTACGTCCAGCTGGCCAAGCTGGATATCCCATTTCACTGGTAGCTTCGTTGGACACAGTCCCAGTGAAATGCTGTGTCCCCCCTGCTGAAAACAAAACGAATTACAATTCAAAAGAATCCCTGTGACTACAAGGGGCAAACACACACATACCCACACAATCCCACGCACACAAGACATCACGAGACCGTTTCATGCAATATGTGCTAGCTGCTAGTCCGAAGAACTGCCGGCAAACTGCCTGGAAATGGATGAGCAAGCGGGTGCATTCGATATAGAGCGGGTTCATGCGGGTTCATTTGCAGAGAAGGAGACAGGCGGCACCGGTTGCACTCTGTTAGGGATAGGTCTCCGTTTGGTTTTTGTCCGCCGCTCGTTCCGCGGTTTTTGACCGCAGCATTAGATACAAACAGGTGATGGCATTCACTGTGCTGGCTCCCCGCAGCCTGCGGCCTTTGAACTCAAACCAAGCGCAGCACAGCTGTTACAATCCAAAACAAGGTTAAGAGGCTCCTCATCGTTGCCCAGAAGCTACATGGAGTAATTGCAATTGAAAATGCAGCTCGTTCATGGGACTTTCAACCTAGCTGTCGCCGGCTTGTGGAGCGCCACCTTGCTACTCGCGTTTCTTGCGAGCCATTTTTAAAGCAATAGAAAGTACACTTGGACCCAACCAGTTTTTTCTGAGAAAAGTGTTTTTTATGTTTGGGGTATGGTGCTATTTCCGGGATCAACGGATCAGCACAATGCTTTGTTATGCGCCACCACACAGGTGCGGCATGCTGGGAGCACCAAAGCAGTGGAGCTCATCTCGCACAGGAGGGCGCCATGCAGCATGGCAAAGTGGAATTGATTTGCAGACAATTGTTATTAGTAGTTTCTTGTTACTAGACTGGTGAATGAGATATTCAGAATACCGGCCTGAGATATTCAGAGTGTGCCCCTTTCATCACATGTGCAACTGTGTTTTTTTCAGCAAGCAAGCTCTTGCCATGGTTTTTTTCTAGGTGAATGCCAACAAGAGTTAGAAAGACCAACCACGGCCTGACCAGGCGGCCGTGGGCCGAACTCTGCATCCGTGAGGCGGTCCATCCAAACCTTGCTGGTGGAGGATGAGAGGAACGACAGCCTTTTTGGTTCGCATCTCGGGTAGAGAACCGAACATGGTCCATGTGGCCGAAAAAACCAGCTGGCGCCCAGTGTTGGCTAAGAGATGGGGTCAGGGATGGTAGTGTTTCCCCTTTGTTTTTGTTGTTGGAGATGTTGGTATTGCAAGCTAGAGTTGGATGCCAAAAACGTGATATTCCAAGTTTAATGGGGATGAGTCATATCAAATCGCTGAGCTGTTTGAGGTCGTGTGGGGCGAATGCTCCCTTACCGACTCCAGGTTCAGGTGGCCCGCTTGGTGTGCCTCGGTTGCACGTTCTGAAGGCAATCTTACTAATTTGAGATGCTTTGGAGATTGGAATTTCAATTAGACCTTTTACAACAAGTTCTTCCTGACAATTCATTGGATCCACATGTTTTAACCTCAGGACGTACTTAGGACCCTCCGAATCTGCTTTAAAGGGGTGTACATAACCAAGCACCTTTTGGGATCCATCGGGCAGTTGATCGGAACACCAAACCGTCCACGGTGACCCTCGAAGTTGCGGTGATCCTTTGTGGTCCTCCTCGCAGCGAGGTTTAAAAAGAACCTATGCAAACTAAATGAATGTGTGTATATACATATATATATATATGTGAGAGAGAGAGAGATCTATAGTAACTATAGGATGATTTACAACACATCAAAATAGTGAACAAAGGAGAAGAATAACCCTGGAAGGCACTGGCTATTTGCAAGGTATTGTACTTGTGTTCCTCCAAGCTGCGAGGATGAAACCATCTAAAACCTTCCAAGCGGGAGTTCCAGCCCGTTTCCTTTGGGCATATGACCTCAAATGTGTGTTTACCATAATTGATCATCATCATCATCATCATCATCATCATCATCATCATCATCATCATCATCATAGATCAGTTGCTTCACGCCCAAAGGGTTCCGCCGAAACGGCCCGAACGGGAGCGGCGCTTTGCATCGTCGATCTGCGTCGTGAGGAGAAGCACCTCCGTTGGGGAGCTCGGTGAATGACATGCCGCACAACACATGCATCGGCGCTCCGTCGTTTTGGAAACCCCAAACCCGAGACCGCTCTTTTTATCATGTGATTCACCAGTGCAAGTGACATTGTGTTCCAATAAATGTTCCAATCAGGAATTTTGATCTCCAGGCGTTGGTCTTTCGGTCAAAGGCGATGAAGAAAGCAAACCCAGTTTGTACTGACATATATTATATATATACACATATCCACCTAGTTGTATATACATTGGGCATTGGGCCCTTCTGAAATTTCACACCCCAACGGGTCAGTCATCAGTCATCAGCATGGATTCCTTTGGAGCTGAGTGCCCAATCCGTCCGCGCCACTTGCCATTTTCCTCCAAGACCATTCCCAAAGGCTTACGCCGGGCTATCCTGCGCGCCATGGGCTGTGGAGCATCTGCATTTAAGATTTACCCCGACTATGAGACTTGGAGGGGATGTATCAACGTGATGGCGCGAGTATAGTTACCTTGAATCGCTAAGTATATTAGAGCTTTTCTACATGCAAATCAACGTCTTTTTAGATGCTTCCAAAAGCAGCAGCCATCCAAGGCTAGAGGTAGATATATAGCCATCCAAGCCCTCCCTAAAGCGGTTTGGTGAAACATTGTGGAACGCTCCGACCCAAAAGTCGATCGGAACGCTAAGAAGTCTTAAGCACCTGTTGAACATGGTGGATTTCGAGCTCTTTTTCTCACCGGCATTTCAGCCCCGCGGCCGGGGAGGCTGTCCAAATTGCCATACGATACACAGCGGTCTCCCAGCTTTGTTCCAGGGTGAGTACAGGGTGCAAGATTTGACTCCTGCAAAACCCTGACGTTTGATTCCTTCGTGGGAAGAAGAGCACCGAAAAGATGTCTCTGTTCGTTGAGGTGCAGATATGTGGAGCTCACCGAATATTGAGTCGATGTTGGGTCCGTTGATACGGAAAACATATGACAAGACCTCACATCGAAAGTCAGCTCAATGTTGTTCTTGTGATCTACTTGTCGATCACCATCACTAGGAGTCCTTACGACCGATATGAATATGTATTATAATATATATATCCACAAACTTGGCTCCCAGACAGGTAGCCTTCCATTTGCGACATTTGAGATTTTTGAGACAAGACTCTTCCGGACAACACGTCCTTTCGTCGTTTTGTCGCGCTCGTTGTTGGAACGTGTGCTTTTGCTGCTCGAAAAGAGCCGAGGACGACATCCTGACAGTACGAAGAGGCGATTCGCCGGGCCAATCCAGGAATTATTGGAATTGTTTATGCATCAATATACGAGAAGAATCATGAGATATCATGAGGAATATTGAGGAGTTATTTTGTTGCCTTGATTTTGGGTTGATGCTCATGACAGGAGTCCAACACATGAATCCAAAAGCTTCATGTCTCGCTTCTTTCTGATGCTCATGGTGGCCATTCAATCGGCACCATTTGGCAATTGGTGTCGACGGTGTGAATGAACCTGCATGAGCTCAGGTGAGGCAGATGCGCCATCACATGCCTTATGCATCCTCATGCCATGGAAATCACCCGCATGGCACTTGATTGACCAGATCATCTGCACTCCCTGAAACAATGATGGTAATGGCTGGCATCGAAAGGATGACCTATGAAATCCTCATACCATGCGATGTGTTCCTCAGAAGGTGTTCCTCAGAATGCGACCATGTGCATCCCGTTTGGGCTCCTGGCCCATATCCTCAGGTTCGGTGGTTAGATCCTCCTGGCACCCAACCCAACCACCTTCGAAACGGAGGTGGGTTGGAGCCCTATAGGGCATAATGAAAGACTTCAGAAAAACGAAAAAAGAAACACATCCAAGAATAAGAACAGGTCTCGTTTTTCGAGGCTCGACTCATGGTCCATCCAGGTCTCGTTGTGGTCTTCGATCGATCTCCAGAAGTTCGATCGGGACTCCCCGAGTCGAATCGAACGTGGGCTGAATCGAAAGAAGCCACGAGTTACGTACGAAAGCTGGTGTGTTTGAAAGTGCTCTGAGGGCATCATTTTGAGTGGTTGAACGGTTGGTACTCCATCCTACAGATTCCTACAGTCCTGTTGTGTCCTTTTAGGTTAAAAAACCAGTTTCAACGTGAGATTGCGTGTCATCCGCTTGCAGAAGCCATTGAACAACGTCGGCTCGAACAACGAGAAGTAGCAGCTGGCAACCCGGTGGCAGAAACGGTGAAGACTGAGACCGACTGCAGCTACCAACTGGATGGTTTGCTGGACACTACAACCCCAACCTCCCATCTCGATCTTTATCCGTAGAGGAAACTCCAACTGGTAGTGCCAGGTCGCTTCATCCTGTTTTCTCTTGGGGATTGTACGATAGCTGCCAGAAACGGAATACATTCGCAATTGCAAGTGCTCTGTGATATGTTGACTGAAAACAGATTCTGGGAATCATGTCGAGAACAATCAAGGCCAGAATGGGGTCTGAACATGTCTGAACAGGTCAGTCGGAGTCAGGAACGAGCAGGAACACAGCTAGGGCCTTCCACGCAGCCAGGAACATGAGTCAATCACCGTATAGCGGACTGAAAACGAGAAAACAAGTATTTTTGTGGCGCATCAGCTGGTGGGCAGCTTTTTGGGTGGCGAAGCACTCCCTTGCAGTGAACCTAGCACTTCTTCGAGCACTGACCTGCGAAGACATATGACAACAGAACAAAAACCAGGTTTGCTGATCAGGTGATTTGTTCCTATTGGTAAGATCACCTTCTAGAATTGTTTGTTTCCCCAAACCGTGTGGTCACACTAGGGTTCTTACAGTAGGGGTTAAGGCCGGGCGTTCAATCGGTGGTGTTCATCAGCGCCTCCGGCTAAGTCGCTGCTATATAATTTGAATTAATTTGACATATATTTACTCTATATTCATGCCTCGCGAGATCTTCGAAATGCATTTCGACTGCGCAGGCTTGCAGAAAGCCTTTGGCTGGCGCGGGTGCTTTCCTCGACTGCGCTCTTGTTGTGGTGCCGTGCACATTTGGAGACAGTATTTGGCAAAAGCTGCGTTTTGGCATGTTCTTTGGAAGTGCTTGTGCTGCGAAACGCATTGCCATGGCTGGGCGATGTGAATCTTGCTGTGCAGGCCTTGTCGCAGACACACTACGGATTCTGCATGTGATGGTTCACAAAGTGCTGTGCCTGGCACAAAGAGCTGCACCTGCCACGAAATTTGCACATCAAAGGTCACAAAGAGCGCTGTGCCTGCCACGAAGTTAACACAGCGCATCGCTTTGTAAACCTTGAAGTGGAGATGTCATGGCAGGCGCAGGCTGTTGGGGGGAACCTCGAAGTTCACAATATCGTGGCAGGCGCAGCTGTTTGACGTTACCGGCAGGCGCTACCACGTTGCCGCTACTACCCCACTACCATCGCTGCAGCACCGCTACCACACGACCGCTACCCCACTACCACTGTACCACTGCCACACGCCCATGGCACTCTACCACTACCACGATACTACCACGACTGCCACACTACCACTCTAGCACTACTACGACGCTACCACTACTACACTACGACCACCACACTACCACACTACTGTACCGTACTACTACATTCATCACTGCAATCTTCTGAACACTGTTTGGGGCGTTTTGCCGGTATAATTTTCCCATGTTCCTAGTTCCTGAACAGTAAATCCAAGAAAAACTGAGTCAGAATACTTGTTTGCCTCCTGCCGATTCAGCTGACTTTGGCGTAAATTTATGTCTGGACTGTAGGCCCTTCAAGTTCAGGTGGCTGGAATGGTTTTGGGGTCGTTTGGACCCCTGACTATGACATATGTTTGCAGAATCCGGTTGTAATTACAGTAGTTCCAAGGTACCACCAATGAGAGGTTTCGACTCCTGGCAAAGGCATTGGCAACTACGACGATGCGGGCATTCGCATCTTGGCCTTGGAATCGATGGAGTCGAGTGCAAGACAACCAATAGCAAACCCACTTTAGATGAGAACACAGCGAGACAGGTGGGTCAAACGTCACTCAGCTGTCGACTCAAAAGGACATTGTTTGCCAGCACCTTGTCAAAGCAAGCTGAGACAACAGATCAAGTAGACTGCTAATGACCAGGACTTGGTGTCCAAATTGTTTAGCTTGATTTTTTGTACCAACAAGGTGTTCTCTGCTTCATGGAGTCACTGCCTTTCGCGAAGGTGCTTCTACCCAGGTTCTCCTTCCTTTAGCAAAATGTATTCAGGGAACGCAGGGAAGGGAACAAGAATTATGAAGGGATGGATTCTGCTTAAATGGCGTGGACTTTGGATCAAATCCCACTGATTCATTTCAGAGACTGACTCGTGCCGAATCATGCCGAGTCCAGAAGTCAAACCAGTTTCAATCGATCTCAAACGCCACATTTGTCCAGCGTGGTTCTCTTTGCACGTCGGACGTACTCTGACTTCAGTTCTTTTAGGGGTAATTAACCTCTTGGACTGACTTCCAATTTCCACGTCACACCCTGCCACAGCTTCTACACATTTGCTAAGCCGCCAAGGCCTTAGCCGCGTTCAATGTCAAACACGATCAGAATCAGAATCAACTTCAGCGCTTTAGCACTACCCACGAACCATGCTTATTCCACTTCACACCACGAATAGAGCTACTTAGAACCATACACCCTGATCCTTACTTATTTCGGTCCCATGCGTTCGGAGTAGTATTTTAGCCGTCGCCGCGAAGCATCAAGAAACGCACAAGCCACGCGTAGCAATAAAACATGTGAAGTGACAGTCACCAAGTGACATGTGCAGTTTCTTTGCAGCTATTTGTAATGTTGAGACAACCTGCAAGCGCACTCGTACCATCTCGTACCAAAAGCTATGCCTACCACGACCAACTATCCACATGACCCTTCACAAGGAATTTGAGAAATGTCCTTTCTTCCCAGCAGAAAGCATTTGGGAAAAAAACTAGAATTAAATAACATCGAGTTGATTCTGGTGGTCTTTCCAGTGGTTT